TCATCTGCATGACGCGCAAGAGAAGAACATAAACTTCCTTTGGCGAAGGAATCACCACCAACCAAATCTTCATGCCACTGATCAGCCTTAGCACGTCCTATGCCCAATGTGCCCAAAAACGATAGGGGAACGACTTCGCTTTCTTTCTGTCTCACAAAATCGCTTATTTCAACGAGCGGGCTGAACAGCCAGTAAAACGGATGAATTCAGGCCCAACATCCGATCCTGTAAATCGACGCGCATCGCTTACCCAGTATCGCCAATGAGCAGCACCGGTTCGTCGTACATTAATGCTTGACTCAAGAGAACGGCCATTCGACGCAAGTTTTTCGTCCAAACAATATGTCTCAAGTGCGGTGCTGCAATTGAAGTTAAGTGAATCAGCCGAATATGATCACTAATTTACAATCACAACATGATCACTACCTGAACAGCAAACGATCAGCTGTGAGTTGAAATATGTAGAATCGGTGGAAAACAATGCGATATCGTTGATTTTTCGCAGGAAGTGCTTCGAAATGGTCTCACGAACAATTGACAAGTCTTCTTCTCTTCTGCTTCGTCCGCCAAGAAGAAGGAAACCTAAAGCAGCACAATGTAGCGCGTATGATTATGATTGAATCACGACAGATTCTACCTTGTTCCGCCAGATACTGATCCCAGTCAGTCGCCGGACAGGTCGCATCGCAACGCTTGTAACGCTCGCCCCACCGAAACAAGTCACGCAACGTCATGTGGCCTTCTTTTCCAGCGAAAAGACCCGTGGTACTGCGATGAAACTTCAAATGTAAGTGAGTTTACAGTCGCTGGCAAATCAGTAAACGAAGAACAACGATATAAAACAACATGCTTTGCATCGAACACAAAAAGCCTAATATTTCATATGAACAAGTTTAAAATCGACTGAAAACTAAGACTCAAATATAGTGTTCCAGCTGAATAATCTTCCGATGCAACAGTCATCAAAGCCTAAAAAAGTGTAACTGCAGATAAGTCGGTAAAGTAACACTAACGGATGCCTGCAGTACAATCGTTGTATCGCCTTATAAGACGATTCCAATTCTAGAAAAGCTGTGCCATTCCATTCAGTGAATACCTCTGTTGTTACCATTTCGCTAGTCCCACGTGTCTAAATCTCACCTTCTTTTATCCATGAGCAGATAAACCAGTCTTGACCTCGGCATTGGGTTAAAGACAAAACTGTATCATTTTCAATATTTCGGCCTTAAAGGTACTTAAAAGCCCGTTTAGTGCACTCAATACAATGGCTTCTGCCCCTGCAAGATGTCTATAAAGCATCCTGATATAAGCAACGGATGATCATCTTCAGTAGAGTCATGGGTTAAATCTTTATCACCTGAACACAAAACCAAAAAATAGACAATGCGTTCAGTTTATCCGCAAAAATATGGTATCACAGTTTCACAGAGGTACGCTTTGAAATCAGAAAGTGCCGACAGGACAAAATTTTTCGCAGCCGCTATTCTTAAAGCAGGGAATTTACGCACACGCTGCTTCGTTAATCCAGTCTAAAATGGATAGCAAATAACTGTCTAGCAATCAACAGTCAGCACGGTATTCTGGAGTGGTCATATCAGGATGAATGAGGTTTACGGTCAGCTGACCGATGCCAGCGTCCTTGCAGCTGTGATTCATCTTGACCCAACAGATAGCTTACTGTTCATTGTGACCAACAATCACGAGGTGCATAACCAAAAATAAATTGTAATGAGTAATATATTGTTCAAACAGGAGCAAAGAATTCCATGTGCAAAAAAACAAATATAAAACAGGTAGTACCAAAAACGACAAGCATCATATAAAAGTACCTGTAAGTCGCGCATCACGTTAACCATTTTCCTCGCGTAGCTTTGGGGCAGTGCACATCGGTGATGAAGGATCAACTCGAGCTCGTTGAATGGCAGTTGCTCGAAGTTCAGTTCAATGAATCGGTTGCGGAACGCTCTGGAAAGACGCTTGCGACCTGAGTACAGACCAGCAGGATTCTGCGTTGCGAAAAGAATGAAGTTCGGGTGTGCCTTGACCGTTTCTTGTGTCTCAGCCACAAACAGCTCTCGGTTATGGTCCAAAACCTGAAGCGACAAATTTAATGTGCTTTGCATGCGGGTCATCCTCACGACCCATCACAACTTGCCCTGTTCAACGCTTCGAGAATTTCCGGTTCGGCAAGGTTCAATTCGTCTAAAATTATCCACGCGCCGCTTCGCATAGCCTTGACAAGTGGACCTTAAGAGACATGTGTAACAGCGTCAGATACAACTGTTGATCGTACCTTCGACAAACGTGAGCTTTCCGGAAGAGTCGGTCACGTAGCTTCCGACGTATTCCTGCATATCGGTGTGTTCGTGGTTGTTTATTCGAAAACATTGGTTTCCAGTCAGTTTCGCCAAATACTGAATCATACTCGTCTTGCCGACAGAAGTTTCGCCTTGAATTAGAATAGGGAACAATCTGCAAATTGAAACGAATCTGTTTAATTAGCAAACAAGTCGTCCATTGGATGTATGCTGCAGATGTACCCTTGGACAACGATGAACAGAAGGAAGAGCCCAGTGTCGACTAAGCCGGTTTGTTTGACTTACGTGCTTAGGAGCATATTTCTATGGAGGGAAAACTCTTTATGATAAAAGTTAAGTTGTAAAGAACGACGAGATGCGGAATTCCTATGGGTCACATACAGCAACAAATTACCGGGAGCTGGCTGCTCGGCAAAGTTTGTGCAGATTCTTCTTAACTTGGGCTGTCACCATGTAGCTGCTATCGGATTCAAGGGGATTAGGCCCTTGCGCAATCCAGTAACCTTCCACTTCACTAAAAAGGAACAAACATTGCATTGGCTTTACGTCTGTTACCTACCTTCAAAATAACGTACATGTAAGCAGCGCCGTCCGATGGAGGGTGAGTCGAGTGTTTCAAAATCTTTGCATCCGCCGACATCAAATACTTTACGATTAATGATTCGACTTGCGCGTAAGACTCAGAATCAAGGTCACTCAGGAAACTTAGGCACAGACCCTGAAAGAAATGCATTATCGAGACTTATCATGAACGTAACACATGTCGGTGACCGACAAATCAGTGCCGGCAGACGTCCTGTACCTCATAAATCGACCGCACAAGGTTTCCAAACGTGTTCAGTTTCGCCCAAGACAATGCACGACATAATGTTCGCAAACTAAACATACCACATGGGCTACACATAGACAGCAACGGCCGCATGATGAATTTTACCTTATGTTTGGACGTTGGTTCAGAATGCCGGAAGTTAGCGAGTTTGCCATTGTCCGCACGGCCAAATAAAACTTGACAACTTTATAAACCAGAGCCGATTCAGGTTGCAGAGTTGACAAGTAAGTTTGGACGACGACGCACAGGTCATCGAACTGATCGAGGTCGTCAACAAAAATTTCGGTGAACCTGAAAACCAAACAAACCGAATTTACAGCTGGAAACAACAGCTACGCTCACAGTCTCTACTGTCTACCTGTTGCGAATTCCAACCGGCAGCTCTCGTTTACCAACTTCAGTGCCAGGATTCATGCAAGCGAACAGTCGAAATTTTTTGTCGACAGTGAACTGGTTATCTCTAGGAAAGATTAAGAAATAAACGCTAAAAATTATTTAAAGGAAAAGTTCAAAAATGGCAACTGACAGCTGGCTGTGAACGCGAGGTCTCGTACCACATAAAAGGAAGTGAGCCCAATGACTACAGTAAACAATTCTAGGATTTCGAGATAAACAAGCCAGTTGGGAGGAACTTTCTCGTCTCGTGAACAGTTGCGGATCTAGGACCTGTGCTATTTACTGTCAAGGAAAAACATGTCTCGCATGTCTGATCCAATGTCGCCCGACTATGTAAAGCCAGTTTCCAAATGCTTGTTTATTCATTATTCTGTCATGCCAGTTGCATGGCATGTGGAATCCGTTAATCCACTGTCAGTCATCGAAGAAAAATTGCGATTCATTTTGGCCAAAAAATCCAACCATTAAGTATATCAACAATCTCATATGCCAGTTACGGAACAACAGATTAACGATGTTCTAGACCCGTTTTATAACAGGTGAATTTGAATTGCTGTGCTGCTGGCTGCATTATGAATACAATCGGAAAACAGCTAGCTAATGAGCGACCCATCTGAAAAATATTACTCTCTGACTTGTTACATCTCGTTAATATCGAGGACGCAAAACTGTAGCAGCAAGTCATTTCTCCTATCGTCACTGGTTTTCTGTAAATAGTAGGAAGAAATCTTGCACAGTGGCAATTCTTGGCAATTATTAATAACCTATATGCACTGCAATGTTCTGTCCGTTCGCCCTTGCAGTAGGATACTGCACAAATGACGCATCACTATAATGCATAAACTATCTTCTTCATCTTCATCTTCCATCGCCGCTTCTCCTTTCGGGTCGCGGAGGCAGACGCGCCAGACAAGGCGTTCCCGATCCTGTGCCAGAGTTTGAGCTTCGGCAAAAGACAAATGCAGCCTGGAACAGATTCCTTCCATATGTTTGCACCAGGTTAATCTTG